GGGGGGGGGGCGGCAATTGATCCTATCCGGTTCCAGGCCCATCTGGCCTGCACCTACTGTCAGGGGTGCCAGATGAAGTGGGCTGGACCTCTATGGAGACACTGCCTGGGATCCCCAAGAGCAGGGCAGAGCCACAATTCACTCCCTGCATGTTCTGCCTGGGTCAGGTGGGACTGAGGGACCCACTGCAGGCCACACAGAATCCCATGGCAGGCCAGATGTGGCCTGCAGGACATATTTTGCCCATCCTCGCTTAAAACCACTTTTCCTTGTTAGCATGATTATCATAACATTTGCAGAAGACATGCTGCTCTTCTGAAGCAAAAATTAGAAAAAGATAACAGTGTCTAAACTTCCCAAACATTTAGCTCCTTTTGGACAACACTTTGTTGGAGAGGCTACTTTAAAAAAATATTCTGCATTCTTTCAGTATAACACACTTACTGTTTGTTACCAAAACCACCCATTAATGGACAACAAATAAGGGACTGTCAGTAAGGGAACTTTGATTTTACAATCCAAACTTTACAATGTACATCTATATAGGTTGTCTGATGAAACAAATAGGTTTTAAATCCATTATATCATAATGTACTCTAAAAATTATATTCTTTGACTTGAATATTTGATAGCTTTATAAATCTGGATTATGACAGAAAAGAGCTTCTCTGAAAGGTTTGGAGAATACAGACTATTTTTGGAAATTTCACATCCAAACTTTAGCTCCTTTCTGAAAGTTTAGTATCCGCCATTTTTAGTAAGAATGAATCTGTGTACACAGCACCAGTTAGTTGAATAATCATCCAAGTGCAGTTAATAGCCTGTTACTGTGACAAATGATTCTGACTTCTGGGAAATGACACTAGACCTAACTTAACAGATCAAACACCAACTTTTGAAACACCTTACTTTTACATTTACATGCACATCGTTCCTATTCAGTGTTTTTTCATTCCTGTGGTTCAACTTTGCATAGCTTGTTTCCAACCACAAGAGTACCAGCTAATCTTCAAGTAAACCTAGAATGGGTTATTTTGACAATAACTCCTATATGAATGTCTATGTTGTATACTCTATTTCAGTGCAGACAACACTAGTTTCAAGCCCAAGTGTTTTCAGGTATTTGAACTTTTCACAAATATGACAATTCATCCTTGTATGTGTAAAACAATGTCTATGTCTATTTGTAGAACTTGTAACCAGTTTAAAAGACTGTAACTGCTACTACTCTAATTCTTACTAACATACACGAATCAAAGCAGTGTTTTGTGA